CTTGTCGACAAAATCAATCTTCTTGTCGACAAAATCAATCTTCTTGTCGACAAAATCAATCTTCTTGTTTAACATTTGGTATAATAATAAAAATTCACCCGTTAAACCTACAGTTTGTTCGTCTGTTTGTAGAGGTTTTTGTGGACTATCCTGATTGACTCTAAAATAAAAATGTTTTTATGCATTCGTCTTTCTTCCACATGAATGAGATGAAAAATTCTATAATTATAAATATAATTTTTACTTTTCCGCCACTTGGGTCATTTTAATTCTCTACTTCGGAAATCGATATTAGAAACAGAAAAGGAATCATAGCTTTTCAATCCCGACCTAATGAAAGACATTGCTGGTTGCAATGATTCTTCAGACATAAATAAAGAATGATCATAAGTTCAGTGAGAATAAAAATGCTTAGAAAATAAAGTGAAATCAACTTACAAAATCTCTTCATTTATGAATGATTTGAACTGATTTTGATACGGATTATCGGGTTCATATTCTAAATCAATAATATTTACTTGCGTAATGTGTGCACCGAACTCTACTTTTTGCCTATAAACATCATTGTCAATTAATTCATCATCGTCGTCGGTCGGATCATCAAACCGTCTCTGTGCATGAGTCTGTTTTGTGCACAAATTCTGTGTTAGGGAAGGTGTTGAAGTAGACGACGAGGGTGAATGCTGTTTTTTTTCTTCAGTTTGTTTGCCTTCCACATTATCACTTTTTGGTTGTGATTGTTTGCCTTCCACATTATCACTTTTTGGTTGTGATTGTTTGCCTTCCACATTATCACTTTTTGGTTGTGATTGTTTGCCTGTTTTTTTCTTCTTTTTCTTGCTACTTGTTACGGATTTTTCTTGTAAATCATCAATATTTAAACTGTTTAAAGCTTCATTCCTCCTACGTTCCTCTTCATCATCTTGAAGTTTTATTTGATTTTCTAGTTGTTGCAGTTCTTCTGCAGATAAATTTTTATAAACATGTATTTCCCCATCATTGGCATTTTTCATAATTTGAAAATCAAAATGATCGTTATAAACATATATTTTATTTTTAAATGTAATTCTACTTATTGTATCATCAGCACACCATGTGTTTAAATGTGTTTTAAAATCTTCTGGATATCTTCGGATAGAAATGTCATAAGAAATTCCATTAGTGGTAGATTTGTCATATACGACGATTACTTTCATTGATATAATCGTATTGATTTAAAGAATATTTTTCCTTTATATCTAAAAGAAAAACAACAACAATACGAATACAACTGTTAACGGAGAAGAGAAGAATATGTTTTAGTGAGCTTCTAAAATAAACAACCAGCGAATAACAGATAGTGATGCGAGGGAATTCGGTATTTTTTTCGAGAAATGGCAGTTATCAAACACTGGAATGTTCATTCATTTTCTTCTATTGATGGATATTCATTTTCTTTTCTAAATTTGAAAAGTGAAATATGTTCAGTCTGTTCCAGTCGTCATTTTATTCAGGTTCATGTTCAAATTTTTCATTCTATTTCTACGGACTGAAAAACAATAAAGCCTCGATTATTTATTTGTAAATTTCGAAATATTTCTAAGGTCTATTTTTGCGGCCGTTAGTCGTCAACCTTAAATAGCGGTAAATATATACACATATATCACCGCAGTCACTTCAACTACGAACACTTTCATTTTGCTAATGAGAGAACCTCCCGAGATGTCCCCTTCCGATTCCAATTAATTTCTTCTTATTTCTGTAGCTTTGAGCTGACAATGAAAAGTTAGGGCTTTTCCTGTAAATTCTATAACTTAGAGATACGCTATAATATACAGCAATTATTGATTGTCAAATTCCTCTTCATTCAATGAAATAAAATTATAGGTTTCTTATAATTCTGATTAAGTCACGGAAAAATGAATTCATTCAGGTCATAAAAGGGTGAATATTATATTGTCTATGCAACATAGCAAACACAAATCGTTCTGCTTTCTTTATTCTTCTTTTTTAAAAGATAAAATAAAAAGCAAAAATAACCTAACACAAACAAACATCATAGTGTGTTTTATGATTAGTTAACATGCACAGAAGAGAAAGAGAATGCAAATACTCAAATAATAAATAAATAAAATACAAACTTTGGATTTTTTTTGTCATAAAAACAAAACGAAAACGAATAACAATAATAGAGATATTTTTGTAATTTATTCATGCCATTATATCGAATCGGACACAAAAAGCAAATATAGCATGCAAAATTTAGCTAGAAAAGAGCATTTCAAACTTTTACCATTTTCTTTTGTGCGTATTTGACTGTATTATATCAGGAGATTGCGTGAAATTAAAAGGAGAAACAATGCACATCGCACCGATCCGGTTCGTCGTTGTTCAGTACACCTGATCTACTTGACTGAGAAAATCAAAAACAGAACTTAAGCGAGGATATGAGCCATTTCATACAGGTAAAAATATGCTTATTAATAATCTGCCTAAAAGTGAAACTTTGGTCACTGTCTTGACTATACTTGGCATAAAGATGAGAGAATTCTCTGATTTACGGAAAGGTTTGAAAAGCGTTAAAAAAAAAATTTATGATATATTTTTTTTGACGTATGTTGTACGAACCAGTCAACATCATGATAAAAAATAAATTTTCTATTTTCCTATTTCATCTCAGGAATGTAAAATACCTTAGAAAATATACGCACCATCTTACTCTAAATACATTAGGATTAAACGATTCAAGTAAAACTCAAAACAGAAAATATTGTAAAAATAGTGGTTGAATGAGAGAAGACACTGTATAATGTACATTGAAGTACACAAAAGCTTAAAAGGAGGAAAATATCATAAGGAAAATCGAATTTCAGTACCATTTTTCCAGTTGTGTATTCAGTTTTGTTACTCAACTTTTCCTACATTATTTATGATACCTAATCAATGGTTACAACAGAATGACATCGCGAGAAGGACAGAACTGAAGCTTCAAAGTATAGAAATCAGATAAGGAAATAAAATTGAAAATAACTAAGGAAAATGTAGGAAAACAGTTTGATAAGCCAATGTTACCAATTATTTAACTTATGAGGAAGGAGGTAGAGAAAGCAAATAAAACGGATAGGGTCTGTTTGGTCGCTTAAGAAGAATCGAAATTTGATGAAATGGATTTGTATAAAAGCCCCCACATTGAAGAATGCAAAAAAAGAATGCTCTTATTCGTTTACTACAGTAGAAGAAAAGAAGGCAATGTAAAATAATTTACAAAAATATGGAACTTTCAGATCTATCTCATGTAGAAAGACAAAAGGCAATGCAGAAATACAACAAGACAAGTTACAAAACACTCAAAACAAAAAAGTTACACTGTTTTTTACATTTCAACTGACATTCTCTCTGTTGTATGTTCTGTAAATTTTTCAGAAGAAGGATAAAGAGGTTCACCGAGAATAGTGTGTGGCAAGAGAAAGCAACAAACAAAGAAACAAATGAATAGTGGATATAGTGGTTAACGAAATTGTTCGGTATCAAAAACAAGTTTAACTGCATCGAGTACATGTTCAACGGTATATTTTGGTTGTTTTAATAGAGGATCAATGATCATATCTCGATGTCCGTGATTGAGTTGTTGTGTTTGTCCTTCTTGATGTTGTTCTTGGTTATAAACACCGGTACACACCAAAATAGAACTGATACTTTCAGCAGAATAAAATTGTTCAGCTTCATCTGCTACAATTTCAACACTATTTCGTCCCCAAGCTGATGATGATGATGACGAAACACCGCCGCTTACTGCTGTTTGAGTAACAATTTGTTTTAGCCGAGATAATGTACGAGTTTGTAGATAATTATTATAAACATTGGCTCCATAGATATCAGTATCGGGATTATCTAAAACAGAAAAAAAAATAAATTGAAAGAATGAAACGATGAAAATATTCAATTTTACCTCCAACAGCATATAAACGTTTGATTGGTTTTCTAATTCCTAAC